CTATAAGTGTCTCACCTGTCCTATAAGTGTCTCACCTGTGCTATAAGTATCTCACCTGTCAAACTAAGATCTATTATGGACAACACCTCTCACCCCCTGCATCGGACTGTAGAGGAGCTGAGCAGCTCCTTTAGTAAAAGACTCAGACACCCTGTGTGCAAAAAAGAGCGATACCGTAGGTCTTTTATTCCTGCTGCTACCAGACTGTACAACTCTGCACTTTAACAACTGCTGTGCAATTGTGTTATATTTATTGACCTGTATAATATGTGTACTGTGTGTGAGCCCTCAATGATTGTATATATTTTAATCACCCAAATCTCAATGCTGTGTTTCTTTCTTTGTATATTTGCTTGCTTTTGATGTACTTTATGCACCTTTTCCTCCTTTTGAACTCTAACCGATGTGTGACCAGTGAATTTCTCCACTGTGAGATCAATAAAGCTCTTATCTTATCTTATCTTATCTTAAGTGTCTCACCTGTGCTATAAGTATCTCACCTGTCATATAAGTGTCTCACCTGTCCTATAAGTGTCTCACCTGTCCTCTAACAGTCTGTCTCACCTGTCCTATAAGTGTCTCACCTGTCCTATAAGTGTCTCACCTGTCCTATAAGTGTCTCACCTGTCCTATAAGTATCTCACCTGTCATATAAGTGTCTCACCTGTCCTATAAGTGTCTCACCTGTCCTCTAACACTCTGTCCTCTAACAGCCTGTCTCACCTGTCCTATAAGTGTCTCACCTGTCATATAAGTGTCTCACCTGTCCTCTAACAGCCTTTGTCACCTGTCCTCTGACAGACCGTCTCACCTGTCCTATAACAGTCTCACCCATCTCTAAAATCCTGTCTTGCCCTCCTCACCTGCCTTGGTGTCCTTTTTACCTGTTTTCTATCCCACCTGTCCTCTCCTGTCCTCTGGTTTCTGTATTCTACCGTCTTCTCACCTGTTCTCGGATATCTTGTCGCAGCTCTCCTAGGATCTGGTTGAAGATGATGAGCTGACCAATCAGAGCTTTAGTATGCTCACCTGAGCAGAGAAAACCAATCAAATGAGACGCAGAGGGAATGAAACTTTTGGCCCCGGCAGAGGAAAGGCGTCTCACCCAGGATGGAGTTGACCTCCCCGCTCACTGAAACCACCACAAACAGTCGGGTTAGCTTCAGAAAATAAAAACACAGACCCAACTTTAACTCATTGGCTGATGTTTTATGTTTTTCAGCGAGAGTGTCTGGGGGACGATCTGCTAAAGCTTGTCCGTAAATATGGGCTTCTAGACAGAGTATGTAGTAACAAATTGAGCCTCTAGGGGGCAGTGCCACTTTTGATGGGAGATGAGCATAGACTGTAGGCAAATAAGAAAAAGGGAACGATTCTATGAGAGAACATGTCGCCGGTGAGACGCAAGTCCAGGAAGAACGGAATAAGGTAGAAACACTTTTTTTTTCCTGATGAAAGAAGAGAGTCTACTCTTTCTTTTGGTGTGTTCGGTGTTTACATAGTCATAGCACAAACTATTCTGCGGCTCTAGAAAAATCAGTCAAAATGCTCAAAGAACTCTGGCAGTATGGGACTCTGTTCTGAAAATGGCTGCCAGTCAGTGAGTTAACGGGCTCAGCTCACCTGAGTTGTAGGCGGACGCGTCTCCCTGGAAGGGACAGTCGGTGAGGGCTCCGGCTTTGGCCACAGTGCCCCCTAGAGCCAGGCGGAGGGAATCCACGGAGCCCTGAGAGAGCGGGAAACAGCACAGACTCCTTCAGTTCGGAGCAGAAATGATCTCATTATCTCCGTTTTCTCCGACCCAACCAGATGGGAATCGATTTTTCCAACCAGAGAATAGACATTTAAACCCGAATTATATGTTCTTCAGACCCATCAGGACCAGAACCACCAGACACCTCAACTCGTTACCCGGACCCGGACCCTCCACCCTTCATAATTGTGAAAGGAAGGCCAGTTTGAAACCAAAGACATTAACCTGTCAAAATTCAGTTACATTTTGGGGTCTTCGTTTTTATCCTTGTGGTATAAAAATGGTATTGAATATTTTCCTGAGTATCTGTATGCAGTTGAACATTTTAGTATAGTGACAACCCTATCCACAGGTGTTAAATGGGCGTCTGACCTGCAGGCGGGCTAGGGTTAGGGTTAGGGTCAGGGTCAGGGTTAGGGTTAGGGTCAGGGTCATTAATGTGGGCCACCATAACATCAGTAACAGGTCAGTCTGAAACCAAAGACACTAACCTGTCAAAATTCTGTTACATTTTGGGGTCTTGTGGTATCCAAAATGGCATTGAATGTCGATAATATCGATTATTTTCCTGAGTATCCGTATCCAATTGAACATTTTCGTATCGTGACAACCCTAGTCTATACATATATACATTTGCCCTATTATCCACGGGTGCTAAACGAGCGTCTGACCTGGAAGCGTGCGTAGGACTTCTGCCCGTGGCGGATCTCCACCAGGTCGGCGGTACCCAACTTGTGGTATTTAAAATGGTATAGAATAGTTTCCAGAGTATTGGTATCCGGTTGAAAATGTTAGTATCGTGACCTAACCCTATCCACGGCTGTTAAATGGGCTGCAGGCGGGCTAGGGTTAGGGTTAGGGTTAGGGTTAGGGTCAGGGTTATGGTTAGGGTTAGGGTTAGGGTCAGAGTCAGGATTAGGGTTAGGGTTAGGGTCATTAATGTGGGCCAGCATAACATCAGTAACAGGTCAGTTTGAAACCAAAGACACTAACCTGTCAAAATTCAGTTAAATTTTGGGGTTTTGGTTTTATCCTTGTGGTACAATAATTGGTGAGTGTCGGTATCCAGTTGAACATTTTATTATCGTGACAGCCCTAGTCTATACATATATACATTTGCAGATTAATCATCTCGGGACTTTTTAAAGGCAGGTTTTCCCTCTTTAACTCATTCGCTGCCAAAGACGTCTATAGACGTCTTTTATGTTTTTCAATGCGAGTGGCTTGGGGGACAATCGGCGAAAGTTTTTCCGTAAATATGGGCTTCCAGACAGAGTATGTAGTAACAAATTTACCCTCTAGGTAGCTGTGCCACTTTTGATGGGAGATTAGTATAGATTGTAAGCAAATAAAAACAAACGCAATAGTTCGCTATGAGAGAACATGTCGCCGGTGAGACGCAAGTCCAGGAAGAACGGAATAAGGTAGAAACACATTCTTTTTCCTGATGAAAGAAGAGAGTCTACTCTTTCTTTTGGTGTGTTCGGTGTTTACATAGTCATAGCACAAACTATTCTGTGGCTCTAGAAAAATCAGTCAAAATGCTCAAAAAACTGGCAGTGAGCGACTCTCTGTTCTGAAAATGGCTGCCAGTCAATGAGTTAATGTGGGCCACCATAACATCAGTAACAGGTCAGTTTGAAACCAAAGACACTAACCTGTCAAAATTCAGTTAAATTTTGGGGTCCTGTGCTATCCAAAATGGCATTGAATGTCGATAATATCGAGTATTTTCCTGAGTATCGGTATCCAGTTGAACATTTTATTATCGTGACAGCCCTAGTCTATACATATATACATTTGCCCTATTATCCACGGGTGTTAGATGGGGGTCTGACCTGGAAGCGTGCGTAGGACTTCTGCCCGTGGCGGATCTCCACCAGGTCGGCGGTACCCGACTTGTGGTATTTAAAATGGTATAGAATAGTTTCCAGAGTATTGGTATCCGGTTGAAAATGTTAGTATCGTGACCTAACCCTATCCACGGCTGTTAAATGGGCTGCAGGCGGGCTAGGGTTAGGGTTAGGGTTAGGATCAGGGTCAGGGTTAGGGTCAGGGTCAGGGTCAGGGTTAGGGTCAGGGTTAGGGTTAGGGTTAGGGTTAGGGTCAGGGTCAGGGTCAGGGTTAGGGTTAGGGTCAGGTTTAGGGTTAGGGTCAGGGTTAGGGTCAGGGTCAGGGTCAGGGTTAGGGTTAGGGTTAGGGTCATTAATGTGGGCCACCACAACATCAGTAACAGGTCAGTTTGAAACCAAAGACACTAACCTGTCAAAATTCAGTTAGAATTTTGGGGTCTTTGTTTTTATCCTTGTGGTATCCAAAATGGTATTGAATGTCGATAATATCGAGTATTTTCCTGAGTATCCGTATCCAGTTGAACATTTTATTATCGTGACAGCCCTAGTCTATACATATATACATTTGCCCTATTATCCACGGGTGTTAGATGGGGGTCTGACCTGGAAGCGTGCGTAGGACTTCTGTCCGTGGCGGATCTCCACCAGGTCGGCGGTACCCGACTTGTGGTATTTAAAATGGTATACAATAGTTTCCAGAGTATTGGTATCCGGTTGAACATTTTATCATCGTGACAGCCCTAGTCTATACATATATACATTTGCAGATTAATCATCTCGGGACTTTTTAAAGGCAGATTTTCCCTCTTTAACTCATTCGCTGCCAAAGACGTCTATAGACGTCTTTTATGTTTTTCAATGCGAGTGGCTTGGGGGACAATCGGCGAAAGTTTTCCCGTAAATATCGGCTTCTAGACAGAGTATGGACTAACAAATTTACCCTCTAGGTAGCTGTGCCACTTTTGATGGGAGATTAGTATAGATTTTAAGCAAATAAAAACAAACGCAATGGTTCGCTATGAGAGAACATGTCGCCGGTGAGACGCAAGTCCAGGAAGAACGGAATAAGGTAGAAACACATTTTTTTTCCTGATGAAAGAAGAGAGTCTACTCTTTCTTTTGGTGTGTTCGGTGTTTACATAGTCATAGCACAAACTATTCAGTGGCTCTTGAAAAATCAGTCAAAATTCTCAAAAAACTCTGGCAGTGAGCGACTCTCTGTTCTGAAAATGGCTGCCAGTCAATGAGTTAATATATACATTTGCCCTATCCACAGGTGCTAGATGGGGGTCTGACCTGGAAGCGTGCGTAGGTCTTCTGCCCGTGGCGGATCTCCACCAGGTCTGGGTCCCGGGGCAGGGCCACCAGGGGGGGCAGGCCCTGGCTGGCGTCGGCCAGCCGGCAGTCTGCGTAGAGCTCCAGCAGCAGGGCGCCGCGCCGCAGCCCGCCCAGCCGCAGCAGCAGGGCGTGGCGCCGCCCGTCCGCCAGCGCCGCGGCCTGCAGGTTCACCGTGTGCAGCTTCCCGTCCGCCTTCACGTAGCGCACCAGCACTGAGAGGCAGGAGAGGGAGAGGGAGAGGAGAACCAGTTTATGATTTTATACAAATGATCCAG